CCTCCCCAATGCCAAAGACTTAGGGCTACTCTTAGTGTCCAAATGAGACCCATGCAAGTTTGAACAAAAACAAATGTAGGCAAGTGCTGTGTTAATAGCAGCTCGACTCCCAAAATTGATATCCAACCCATTGCTTCTGAGGTCCTGCCTCAAAGTTGCCAAACCCTCTTTCATGACTCTCACAGAATTTTCTGCGGCACCTACAGATTGATGCGCTTGCGGGGCCCCCCGTACGATTGACAAGGCTCTACCTACATCAATCCCTCGAAGCAAAGCAGTCACTGCTTGTTCAGCATCTGTAAGAATTTCTAAGGGATATTTCGAAGGCCCAACAAGGTTGAATTCTGCAAGCCAAGCTTTGACCCATTGCTGAGTGGACCGCGCGTCGGTCTCAACTGGTGCAATACCTCGCATCCCAGTGATAGCGTCAGCCAAAATCAAATACTTATAAGTTGAAGGTGCACGCATCCCAGTTGGAATGAACAAGAAGTCACAAATCAGCTCGCTTTGCATGGCGTCTTTGCGTTTCCGTCTACGATGGCTGGTGGACTTGGCTGCAACGCATGTTAGACAGTCTGGATGAAATGGAAAATGACCCTGCATACGATGTTCCTGCAACTTGTCCAAATTCTTCCTATCCTTTCTCAAAATGGATGGATGACTATGCTCACCGCTCTCCACCTGCCTGGAATCATCAGGACCTGCCAGAAAAGGTGAATTGGAAACATCTGCATCGAGTTCGGTTGCGTGATTGGGCTCAAAATCATAGTCAAACGGCTCGCTGGAAAACTGAATTCGTTCAGCCTCCAGCTGATCACGTATGGAAACTTCATTGGGGTTCGGATTCAAAGTGCTAGAAACGGCTGCGGGATCCAGTTCTCGGATATCCGTATCCGCTGAGCGCTTTGTTGTCATTACAAATGGCTGGTCTTCAAATGCAAGCTCTTCGGAATTCACCATCTTCTCAACCGATTTCCTTTCCAAACTTTTGTCACTTGGCACATCGATTGGCATGTGTTTGCTGTCATGCAAAATCCATGGAACATTTTGCCATGTCACACTTGACAGTCTGAAATTGCCAAAGTGCACGGACACCTCACCGCCGTCACTACCAAGACTCCATCCTTTTCGAAGCAAATTCCCCACTGAGAGGACATTATTTGGAGCATCTGCAACAAACGCCGAAATCCAGCATTCTTTCAAGAAAGTTTTGGACGGATCATTGGTTGCGACCATGGTGAAAAACACTCGTAGACAAACAAGAGAAATTGGAAAGATCACTTCGCCTGATGCTGTGGAAAATCCCGGTCCCGAATTTGGTTTCAAACTCACGGACTTGACAATTCGGTATCGATCTACAAATCGTGCGCTCACAACAGAGGCGCTGGCTCCTGAGTCAATGAGCCACCAATCAGCATCACGATGGCTATCCGAGGCTTGCTGCAAACATCTTGTTTCATTGGAATTACTCATTGGGCATAAAAAAGGCATGAAAAACAGATTGTCTGTTTGCAAGTGGCTTGAAAACTCTGAGTCAGGAAAACTTTGATCAGCACATGAAGGAAAAACGCTGCAACAACAATGCTCAACGCTGCATGCCGACAAAGTGTCAGAGTCAAACGAGACGTTCTTGCTCTGCTTCTGCAAATGGTCAAGGGACTTTTCAAAGTTCAACACCTTCTGTTGGTACCACTGGCCAATGAAAGACTTCATTGGTGGCTGATGGTCCGTAGAACTGGATCCAGTCCCATCACCTTCAGGCGGATTCTCGCCTTCCTTGTGCTGCTCCACAAGTTCATTGATCTTGCCTTTTCCGGTACCTTTCTTTCCCTGACCACTGCCTTTGCCCTTTCCACCACTGTTGTTCTCTGGCCCCTTTTTCTCCTTGGAATCTGATCTCTTGCTATTCTTGGCAGCAGTACTCATGTCCAGCGGCTTCCCATTGGAATCTTTCTTGGCATGACAATTTGTCTTGTAATGACCTTTGCGACCACAACGGAAGCAAGTATCATTCTTTTCTTTCTCATTCTCGTCCTTTCCTGCTGAACCGCTCCTGCTGCTTGAGTTCTCCTTTCCCTTCTTGCCTTTCCCTTTTCCTTTTCCCTTTTTCCCACCATCCAAAGCACTGTGCATGTAGTGCGAATTGGTGTTTCCAGAAATCTCTGTCCAAATTCTGGAACTGGATTCATACCTCAAAGCTGCGGCTTTCAAGTCTACATACTCATCGGTTTTGGAATGAAGCATCACATAGTCACGAGCTGAACCAGTTAGGCTACGAAAGAGGATCATGCTAAAGTCCGAGGATTGAATCAACAGTCCATCCCGACTCAAATGAGTAGGCAACATTGCGAGCAATTTCTGATAACGGCTCTCTTCATAGTCAAGATTTTGGATCAGCTCAGTGATGCTGGCTGCTTTGAAAGTACGATTCACTAAAGCACTACGAAAATGCAAAATTTCCTGTCTTGATTTCAGCATGTACTCTGCCACGATAAGCCGAAGTGCTTCGAAGCCATTCTTTGGTCCGGGCTTTTCCTGATATGCCAACAGAATTATTCTTGCTTTGGCCGTCTGACCAAAAATCTGCCGCAACATACCAAGTAGACGGGCTCCACGTGCAAGCTGCGCTGTGCTCAGCTGGTGGTTGGGAATCGCATCAAGACAACTGGCTGAAAAACGAATTTCATGGGCAAATTCATGATTGATCAGGCCAACCCAACTTACTAGGTTTTCTACAAATGATTCGATGCCCAAAATTTCATCCAAGCGTGTGCGCCATTTCGATGAATCCACTGAAGGCATGGCGGGCAGCCATCGATCTGACTTGGCCAATGCATCAAGTCCGACCGAAGCTCCCACTGTCTCCGAGCCAGCTTGATTCATGACCCGGGCCTGACTGCTCTCCACACCTGGAATGCGCACAGCTGGATTAGTGGCTGTTGGGGCACTCGACAAGTCACCAAAACCAAGTCCTCCGCCAAGAGGCGAAGAGAATGGGCTGGACAAACTCTCGATCTTCCTGGAATCTGTGGCGTGCGAAGTCGGATCAACAGGCGTGTTGCTACCTGCAGGGATTTGTGCTGCTGCATTCTGCGCAGCACTTTGCAAGGAATTCAATTGAACCTGTTGACTTTGAAACGCTTTGCTGGCAGCAAGAAGGGCTGACTGTTGTCCCTTCATCTGCTCAACCACAGTCTCCAGATTCTTTCCCATATTCACTAAGTTCGCTTGGAGTTCATGAACCTGCTTCTCAAGCGCAAGAGTTTTGGCATCTGGCTGCATGGATCCAAGGGACGGAACAGGCAACGATCTGTGACGCTCAGAGACCATCATTGGGCGACCACTTTCGATCCTTTGACGCGATCTCCCACGGTCATCAAGTTCACGAGACCGCTCCCTTCCAGAGGCCATGGCTGCACACCGGAAAAACTGGTTGTAATTCTATGTTGTCCCTATTGGGGGCGTTGTCCCAACTGAAAACTGGATCAACTACTTTCTGAGCACCACGTGCTCCGCTACCATGCGGAATTTAACAGCCCCAGGGGATAAACAGTAGGTTGTCAACCAGATACCTTTCAAGATCTTAAAATGTGAGTTCTTATGATGTCACTCCCAGTGAAATCTCTGTTCTGATCTTTTCCATAATCGCGGTGTGGCCCTTGAGCCAGATTCCGGGATGGAATTCATTATTCCATGGACAGCACATCCAGCCTTTGGCAGGATGAAAAACTGTTTTCTTTGCATCAGTTTGGGTTAGATCCAAGTCCTTCAGTTCTGTTCTCTCACAGCCTACTCACTTGGAAATTCTTGTCGACCCAAACGTTGACCTAATTAGCACCTTCTATGGTGCAAAAGTCGGTGTCAAGCAACTTCTTCTGTGTCACATGCAAAACAATGAGTGAACAGCAGTGAACGAAATTTGCAAATCAGTCCAAATTTAAAGTGGATCTAAGTGACAAATTCTGAAACTATGTCTCACTGTTCTTGGCTGAGATGGTCATTCGCTCAGACACTTGGCTTGTCTACTTTCCTGCTATCACTACGTTTCCACCACTTCTCAAGTGGCTCTTTCTGCAGTTCAGAACATTCAAGCAAACATTTGGTTCCACCAAATGTGAAGATTGCACAAAACCAAAAAAAACGGAGAAATATGTGCAACTGATTATGGCTTCGCAAATTAAATTCGAGATCACAACTGCGAGACTCTCTGAACTGAGTGCACGGGCACAATCCAAATAAATCGCACTGCGCTAAGCACTATAGGTCAATGCTCGGATGCTTGTAGTTACATGTGGTTGCCGATGGCTTCTGAAGACAAGCAAATGGCATAAAGTCTAGAGTGTTGGAATCGGTTTCTCTCACATTTTCCACAACTGTTCTCAGTTGTGAGCAGCTTTCCCATCTGAAAATATTTCTGACTGTCGCAGTGGAGCACGCACTCCCAAGAAATTTAGTTCAAGCTCTCGTGACATCTGCTGCACTAAGTTTATGTCTACCGACGGATGCATCAAAGATGCACAGACATTATCAAACTAAATCTCTATGGAATGAGATCCTCACTCTTTGCACTGCACCTTTGGATTCACAATTCCGGCAGGAATTGTGCAAAACTTGGCTTATCACTGTCCAAAAAATCAATACTCTTTCTCAGGAGAAAATTTCGTGTGTTCTGCACCAAAAATCAACTGTGCTTTGGCGTTTTTGATCAAGAAAATCATTTCAATTGGTGTTGAGCACCAAACGGCATATGCTTCATGAATTTAAGCCTAAGCGGCTGAGATTTTGGATCTGAAGCGCTGACACGATTGTTAACATGCACCTCTGTCCCAGATGGTGCATTATATTCACATCATCATCATCATCCTAGTGCCATTGGGGTGTGCACTGGTGTGTGTCTTTCCTATCCCCATATCTTGTTGCAAATCTTGCCTTTTTAAACAAGCATAAAGGATAATGAAACGGAATTTTGCACCTGCTTTCATTAAACATGACCAGGCAACTCGTACTCGGCAGCTTCCAGTTGCCTTCGGTGCTGCTCTTGCAGCTGTTCAGTCTCCTGGATCTGCTGCTGCAAGCGACGTTCCAAGTTGTCTACTGCACCCAGGGCCTGGCACTTTCTGGAAAGTGGTGAAGACGGAAACCATATACATCCATATACGATTGGTTGCTGGTTTCAACCAACCCCCTGAAAATGTATAAAGATATCGTGGACATTTGCGGACCATCATCCCAAACAGGGTTGAAAAACATGTTTGACACCAGCAGCCAAATGAGAAAACCCGACGATTTCCTGCGTGATTTTCCAAGATAGAATGACCATGCCATGGTGATCACTGATGGAGTTTGAGGGGGGTGCAAACTGTGCCAAAATGTGTCGAGACCAAAGAAATCAGAGGAGTCATTTGTTTTTTTCTGTGAGACACTGCTTAAACGTCTGTGAAAATGAAAGAAGAATACCCAGAACCACTCAAAGCTTCAATTTCTTTCTGCAGGCCCATCATCTACCCATCGAAGCCTGCTGCAGCTCCACTGTCAGCGAGCTGCTGGTGGCTCGCAGCTCGTCTCGCTCGTGGCAGAGCTGCCTCAGGCCCAAGGCGGCAAGGCTGGCGGCAACTTGACATGGTAACCTGACTTCAGCATAAGCCCCGAATTGGATCATGGGAAAAATCATGGAAAATCTGCATTTACCCTCACCTGTAAGCCTTGCGCCAAAGCCAAGTGTCTGAAGCCGTTCCTCCATCCGTCGCTCCTTCTCTGTGCTCTCGCGCGTTTTCACTTGAAGCGCTTGCTGGTCTGCCTCAATGGCTTTGTCTGACCCAAATCTAACAGTTTATCATATTTTTCTCCTATTCAAATGAAAACACTTATTTGACCGTCACATCTTGAGGGGTATGTGGGTCCCCATTCTGATATTCTGGACAAGCCTAAATTTTAGCAGGTGTCAATTGGGGTATCGCAGGGTCTTTTGTTGGAAGCTGCAGCCTTTTGTACATGAGGTGGGTCGGAGATATCAAAACATTCAACGCACACGTGTTTCTGAAAATAGGGTGAGGTCCAAAGCTATGTCTTGAAGAAACGTCATGATGTCCGACAGTTAATCGCTGGGGATCATAATTTGCGAATTTTCGCACGGCCGAGAACTGAAAGTGCCAAGCATTGCAATAATAGTGCGGGCAAAACATGGCAAAACCATTATCTGGCACTGAGCATGCTCTATGAACGTACCTGCAAAGCCATCGAGAAAAGCTACAGAACCTACAGCGCGCAAATAAGTGCATGGGCCTGCTTAATACGTCCCCCCTAGGCTTTGGCACCAATTCCAAACCAGTTCTTAAGATGTCTTGGGTGCGATCATCCTGCAAGCAATGAGGGCCAAACAATAACCCATCCAAAACTTGCGCTTCCTATATTAGGGGCCCAGAATACCAGTGTTAGTTATGACTTGCCTAGTTATACCCCAATAGAACCTAGTCCTATAAATCTCTCCCCACTAATGTTGAATGCCCTCCAAACGAAGCCCTGGTTTGGTGTTGGATCTAATTATTCATATTGGGGGTGCATACGGGGGTCATTTATGTAATATTATGATATATTCTGGAAATGGGATTATGCTAGATGGGGTAGTATCAATAATACCGCGTGGCTCATCCCACCTACTAGGTAAGTCATATCCAATTTCAGAAAACAGGGGATATATATATATATATATATATGTAGGATGAACCACAAAGTAGCCAATGATTACTTATCAATAATTATTGCATAGTATCACCATTAGCCCTGGCCGATCGCCTGCATTTGCCGCTTCTCTCCCTGCAGCTGTTGCTTGGCGCGTTCCAACTCCGAAGAAGTCTTGCGCGACTCGGCCTTCAGCTCGCTACATTGAGCTTCAGCCTGGCGGTCCGCAGAACTCACGAGCTGTTTGTTTGTCGAAAGTAGTGGGCTAATTGGTTCAACCTTCAATCACCATGGCTTATGGCAACGATAGCTACAGATAGCTACAGTAGCTACAGTTACTGGCATTGTATGAAGGAAAATGACGATCAGCAGAAATGACCAGCTGTCGATAGCTGTCGATTTGTCCAAACATAGGTGCATTCTTGCCCGTAAACGATGCGAGGGTAAAGAACGATCAAACATTAAGTTTGGACGGTAAGATGGGTTTGTTAAAAGCAGGGTGTATCGTGTAAAATATAGGAGACGAGCTAATAACCATTGGATTTTAGGGACACCCGGGACACCCTGTGTTCAAACAAACCAATTTGGTCCTGGCTCACAAGTATACATATCCCAAAAGGCCGGAGAGATGGATGGTTCAGTAATCAAAGTTATAAGTGACTATCTAAGTTTATTAGACCAGTGATTCGCCGGTTTTGAATGTTGGAATTGCGAGGTGATAGTGACAGCATAAATATAAACACATTATAGTTTGTGACATATATTGAAGGATTGCAGTGCGAGGACTCCCTGGTTCAAGCCATTGCAAAGCCAAAGAAATCATGTTTTTTAAAGACCTACATTGGAAACGCCAATGAGGGTATATGATGGTGATCTTATCACCCAAAAATGCAAGGGTCCGGCAGTTTCAACGGAAACCCTACTACAACCCCCACCAGCCCCAGGGCATTCTCCATCTCCGGATCTCCAGTGAACCTTCTCGGCCCGAGCAGTTTGGCGCGCCAGCTGTGCGTTCAGCTTCTCGATCTTCCGCTCGAGCTCATCACTGCCTTCCTCCATCTTGCGGCAGTCTGAAGTCATCACCTGAGGCGACCGACTCAGGGGTCAAAATGCGGGTACTGTTGTGAACCCCCAAAAAAAAGTTGGCACATGGATGTTCGTCCCCCAAAATATGGCATTGTTATAGGCATATTATAGTTATTATAGGCATATTATAATTATTATAGGCATATTATAGTTATTGACATGTTTTGACATTTTTTGATCCATTTCCAAATTGGATGGCTGGATAGGGATGGTCCTCTAAATGGTCCTCTAAAGCTCCCCCCATCAGCTGGCAAGGCTCCTTCATGCGTTCCTCCACCGACTGTACTCGTCTTGACATCTTTGTCCCCTCCATGATGAGGTTCTCCTTCTCCGCCTCAAGAAGCCAGGCTCCACCACAGTGCAGGACATGTATCCACTGGGAATGGCAACGGACAATTCACCTTTTGTATTTAAAAGAATCTATAAACATCCCATTTACATGGCGGATTTGCCAGCTGGCCATGTTGGATTTCTGGAGGGTACATTAAACCACCTCCCGAGGCCCATCAGTTTCAGCGGCCTTCAGATTGCGATTCTCCTTCTGCAATCGCTCCTTGTCCGCCCGAAGCTGTTCCAGCTCCTGCAAGAGCACAGGCGAGATTCTTTGGCAGCACCGCCTCTTATCCGTTGGCCCATGTTCGACAAGGCCGGGCATTCGGTGGAATCGGCCTGCTGCCCTCCATGTCAAGCATAAGCTTCCCCGACATTTTGCAACTAGCGCAGCAACCCAGACCTAAGGGAAACGAGACTACGTTCCACCATGGATGCGATTGATGAGTCATCTTGCATCAACCCTGTGGCTTTCTGACATGTGAGCTGCCTGCCACCCATATGAAAACCACTTCGAGAATAGAAAATTATGCCGTGCAAAAAGGCAAACCGCAGCTGATTCCATTTGTTTTTCCAGGTCCACCTGATTCCACCCCAGCATTGGGTTGTTCCAGCACAAACCAATTCCGTTGCTTTACATCGTTGCTTTCACTGTTGGCTATCTGAACTGCCGTACCCTCCCTTTCAATATAAATACATGTTACCCCGATTATCCGATTATCCCGTTTATGGTTCAAATTTTCATTGGCATGTATGTGTACATACATACACCCACACACACCCATATATATATATATATATACCTAGTACAACGAAAGCCTAACTTTTTGCAGGATAAAAATGTAAACCTCGTGTTTTCCAGGGTGCACTGCGAAAACATCTGTTTCCAGAAAAAACATCGTGTTTTCCCAGGATGGCTAAATAAACGTTGTTTTCACATGATTTGGCATCACTTAAGCAGACCACGTACACAAATCAACCAATCATAGTCATAGTCATATCAAAGTCGCATGATATGATCATCGTTTGGCGTTTCTTTTGTGTCTAAGTCTTGAGAAAAACTGCTTGAAGCGCGGTCATGGTTGTACGCCCCAAACTATCGATCTCATCGAAGGGCTAGTATGGGACTTGGATTTAATTTTTAGACAACCTACTGAGAAAAGCTCGGGCTTATTTTGAACCCGTGCTGAACCCGTGCTAAACCCGTACTTTACCCGTGCTAACCCGAACTTTTGGCATAAATACATCGTGTTTTTCCAAAACACAATGGTTTTGAAACGCGTGCTGAACCCATGCCAAACCCGTACTTTACCCGTGCAAACCTGTACTTTTTGTTCGGGTTCAGAAGGGTCCCACCCCACCTTTGCCATTTTTGCTGCAATATTTCAACAGATTCATATGATCATATGAAAATAGACATCGCATCGGAATCATTGGTGGGTGATGTTGGCTATCTATGCTATCCACTGGTCAAGAGGGAACTGAGGAGCCACCAAGAGTTTCCCAACCACATTTTTTTTGGGGGTTGTGGCAAGGAATGCTGGAATATGCTGGAATAGGATGACTCTATTCATTTCTCTCTTCACCATCGAAACTGCAAATTTGAAAACATTGGGTTTTGTAGAAAAACATCGTGTTTTTTTCATATCCCACGTTTTTGTAGGTTTTTGAGTTTCAAGGTATATATATATATGTGTGTGTACAGTAGAGTTACCGCCTGTTTACAATCTAAAAACTAATAACACCAAAAGTAGATAAGACACGGATTAAAAGTGATTCATCATTATTGTTGGAAACGGATATTATTATCAACTCTAATTGAGGCCAGCAGAGCTCCTGCATCCCCTCAAGGACAACTGCCTGGCGGAAAAGCTGTTAGAATTCTGCCTGGTGATTCCCACCCGGAAAAAACACTGGGAAATTGCTGGGGTTTCATGGGACATTTTGAATTTCATAGGGTTTATTGGTTTTAATGGGTTTTGTTTAGTGGGTATAATTAATAGGTATCTGGTTATCACAATTGAGCAAAGATGGCCTGAAAAGGTTTTATTAATGATGAGCTTCCCCAACAGCCTGGTTCTGGAAACCTTATGAAACCTTCACATCATTATTTAGTAACAAAGTGAGCAAAATAAAAGCAAAGTAAATAGTGAATACATAATGCAAAACTATCCAAAACTTATCAGTTCTACAAGAGCCTTTACAAGTGCACACATTGCTGTGCCACTGAAAAACACACCGTTTTCTCGGAAACACTTTCTACATCTTTCTACTCTATTCATTATATTGTTCCTTTCCAGAAGCTTCTGTGCGAAAAACACAATTCTCTGCGCAAAAGCTTCTCAGTGTGAAGGCGTCCATGTCTAAACGTTTCTCATCGTTTCTCTATGTCAACATTTCTATGTGCAAAAACGGCTCTGGTATGCTCTGGTCAAGGAGTCTGCGTGCAAACAATTGGAAGCAATTGATCCAACCTGCGCAGGAGTAATTCGAGTTTTGACAGCTTGGGAGCCTCTGTCTTAATCTGTCACATTGTCGCATTGAAATATGCAACTCTGTTTGTTTGCTTCGTGGCTTCTGGCCAGGAATAAGCCTAAGCCTTTGAGCTAGCCCAACAGGGAGACGAAAAATCACGCTCTCACTTAATTAATGCTTAATTGTCTTCTACTTCTGTCTTTGCCCTCTCCTTGGAACTGGCTTGTCCCAACTCTCTGCCACTTTTGTCTCTGTGCTGCGGCCGCCTTGGTGTCCTGCATGCTTACTGGCTTGCCTTCCAATCGCCGTCGCCCTTTCTCTGAATTTATTTTACTTCCTTTTTGCACCTTGGTTTCGTGGTGGGCAAAAAGTGAGCGCTAGGTCAACGCTGGTATCTTTCTAAGCGAGATGTCTATCGTAAGCAACGTCCACTATGTATTCGCATTGCATGTCCGGAAAAACGCCATGACAAAGATAGCAATACTTCAGCGGCTCTGTGGGGCTCTATGGTTTGGACATGTTTGGACTGGCTAGTGCCAAATATACTGTGCAACGCGTATTCCGGTAGGCAGTGCTCAGTTGCTCGCTCAGACCTCCTGGTTTTAGAATCTTAGAAGGCAAACTTCCGGCTTACATTATATAAATATAAATAGACGAGCAGATGCAGCAACAGTCTTGGGAAGAGTCAGAGCAAAGAAAGAAGATAAAAGCGTGCGAAAAGGTCCCGCAACGCTGTGTTCTTCCAATGCTTTGAAACTCCGGATGGTCGAAAAGTAGGCTTGCTAAAGCGTCAGGTGCGGAGCCATATTCCAGTTGGCAGCAACAAACTGAACCCATTTTTGCTCACATGTTGACATGGACGGTTGGCTAGTAATCTCACCCATGGTCTGACTTGGCTTTCCAAACATGCATGCAGCTGATGCTTTGCCTTTGGCATTCTATGTTTTCCTGGTTGGTCAGTAAGTCAGTAAGTCGCTACAGCAGCTCATCAGTTGGTCCGCCAGCCAGTCAGTCAGATAGCTAAGCAGTAGTTGGCTGGTTACTGGTCACTTAGATTAGTGATTAATGACACAAAGACTAACATAAGGGCTTAAATGATAGTTGCTGATAGTTGCTGATAGTTGCTGTTCCTGATGTGGCTAATTGCAGCTTTTTTGCCTTGGCCATAGAAAAAACCAATTGCCACAATTAGTATTGAAGATTCCCACCTGAAGTATCCGATTTACCTGTTCCAAATTCACTATTTCCTTTTTTACTGTTGCTTTTATTTTGCTCACTACGCCACTATATATATATTATATTATATTTATTTTTTGATTTATTTTACCCTGCTCCAGAACCAGCCCGGCAGGGAACTCATAACTTTATAAGGTGTTCAAGGGAACATCATCGAACTAAATGGATCTGAATCTACATGGGTGATTTTCCAGCAAGCCATGTTTGATTATTGAATGGTTATATATTGATCAAGAAATCATGCAACAAAAATAGCATCACTGTGAGCTTTACAAGGGACCTGGCATTGAATTTTGGATCGACAGCATGAACAGCAGCGTGCTGTTTATCAGCCTCATTCCAGAGCTAGGGACCAAGGCAGGAGATGTGGAAAGCCGTCCAGATTTGGAACTCACATGACATGCCACAACACGATTGGCCGCCTTTGATTGTCCATCGCCGAGACCGTCGACCGCCCCCTCGCTCGCAACGTTGGTGTCCTTGGCCCATTTGTTGAGACCCCTACTACTCTGGCAAAACCTATTTTTATCCATCGCCAACTTTAGAATGGGTGGTATAAACATCTATAAACCTTCCAAAAGTGGAGGCCCATTATTGATTATAATTATTTATATTAATGGGTTTTATGATATTTGAATAATCTCAACCAACTGCTGCACCCAGTTCGGGCTCACATCTGGTGCAGGTCATCGTGACCATTGAACACTGCAAATCCTCTGCCATCCTCTGCCCTTAATTCAGCCTTTCATTCTGTTTTGGGTCCCCAAGTTTCAGAAATACATTATCTACTGATATACTCTCAAGATCTATTAACTATTACTGATTTACCGAGATAAGCGATCCCAGGACTGGAGAAACTTGGTCACGATCAACGAATGAATCATTGATAGTTGAAGTGTCCAGGTGTTCAATGAACCCTTGAAGGGCAGATCGCCACCCTGTGGCATTCCCGCAGTCATCCCCAACGATGGTACTGGAACTGTGAACTGACATGAGGTACAGTAGTCAGAACATATTCAACAGAATAACGATCCTACATTAAAACATCACCGATAGATCTGCCTTTTTTAATGGACAACTGGAGCGTCTTACAGAACATCCCATCATATCAACTCATACCACATCGAATCCCTGCTGGATTTCATCAGTTTGCTCGGCGGGTTTGACAAAAGAACGGTCCAAGTGTCGCTCAAAGCGGTGGGCTGCAGCGGTGCTGCCTGGGGGGGGGCCATTGCCCATAGACGGGGTCCATACATGGCTATGGCCCAATGGGTCAAATCGGATAGTTGGATGTTTCGAAACAACAAATCTGGGAGGTCAAAAATCTAAAATAGTGATCCGTACCAATTGGAGTTTGATGAAGTTTGGACCTTCAGAAACACTGAATAAATATATTCCAGTGCAGGATGTGGGTCCTGATTTATTGGGCCATTTTGGGTCAGGCCATCCATCCTGGGAGAACCACCTGTGCTTCTGAATCAGGCTTCCACCATGCAAACACAAACAGGAGAGCTCGTGGGAAAACATGTGCGGTGTGTGCGACATATATATATATATACCCTAGTATATATATATACATATTACATCACGATACTGTGCGTATGTATATGTACAAACATGTGAACTGTACATGTATATGTATACGTGTATGCATGTGTATATGTGTATACATGCAGATGCATGTGTATATATATATATATCTCTGCTACACCCCTCCCCGAAGACCTACATTGTGTAATTATCAGATATGTCCTTGGATGCCTTGTCTTCCTTCTTATCTTGTCACCTGTTGTAGCGCTGCATCAGGAATGTATCTTGGGCGCATGCGCCTGGACACATCCTGCACACATATGTAGCTGCAGCATAGCGCTGTAGCATCTATATTTGACATATTCATTTCATTATATTTAATATTTTCGTTTTTGTATGTGTTCAGACATTTTTAATAGATCAACACGAATTTGATATCTATGATCTGATTCTTGCAAGTCTGCTTTTTCAATATCTTCTACAACATTTGGTATTTTTACATAACTTTTAGGGGTTGCAGTAATATGATTAGGGGAATAGGTGGTTGAAATTGTGGTATCTGTTTTTACAACAGGGTATAGCATATTATTTTCATCTTTCTTGATGAATACAACTTTTTGTAAGGCAGTTCTTTTAACAATTACTACTGGTGGAATTCATGTTTACTAAATTTTCTGTAGTAATTTGAAACCTTTTAGCTTTGTGCAAGATTAGATGATATAGTTAGTGCAACTTGAGATTTTGCATTTTCATTTAAATTTACGTAAGATTTTGCAGATTATAAAGGTGTAAAAGGAACACTAGATATGTATAAGACTGATATCCAGTTATAATTTTTAGACATATTGATTTTATAATGCAATTACCTTTTTAATCCTCCTACAATTTCATAACATTCCATCAAGCTTTGCATAGTAATTTGACAATAATCAATCATATTCTCATTTGGTGTTAATTGTCTTATTTGTTCTTGTGAATCTACGTTATTTCCATTAGCTTCTTCTTCAACATCTACATTTTTTCGTAGAAAAAATGATATTTTTTGCTGTAATAATTTATTTTTAAAATCTGTATGATGTAGATGATCTTGTCATTTCATTGCTTTAAATCCAGGAGTGCTTGAGTTATATGGATAATATATTATTTGTAAACCATAAAATGATTTTGATGATAACAAATGAATAAGTATAAACATATATAGATCAGTTTGAAATATATTTGTCATATTATAAATTGTCTTACTTTTCTATACTTCTTAATTTTGTGATATTTTTAAAGGTATTATAGGAGTTTCTAGCATTGGGTGAATATGTATTTTTGCTTCGAAAGATCCTATATTTTTATTGGTGCTTTGAGCTTTATATTCTGAGGATCTAGTTTTAAACATAAATTGCAACCATGTTTTTTTGAAAGAAAGCTTTCTTTGCCGATCTACCTGCAACCCTTTCTAATACGTTTTGCTGGGAAGGTTTTGATTGATCTGTAGATAAAGAGGTATTGCTATCGGATGAGTTCATTTTTTCTTGTTTGTTAAAGAAATTGCTGTTTAAGATTGCAGAATGTTCTTTTTCAATTTATTACTTTGATTATGAGGAATCTAATTACCTTTATTGCATTTTTTTTATTTTTCGTTATTTTTGCCAGTTTTGATTGATTTTCTTGAAAAGCAAAGAAACATATAGTTACCGACTGAAACTTAGAATGGGCGGTCCGTTTCCAAAATTTTTAACCCTTGACTTAGAATGACGGCAGTTAGAATGACCGGTCATCACACCAAAAAACGCCATCCCAAACTTAGAATGACCGGACATCATACAAAAAATATCAAAAAATGCCATCCCAAACGTGGTCCAATGGAAAAAATGTAGAACATACTCAGGAAACCCTGCATTTTTTCAGGTAGAATCATGGTATGCTACACTTGCCCACTTTTTATCATTTTTTTCAAGGTTTTCCCCACAGAAAGGATTGGTTGTAAATAAGTTTAGGCTATTTGCACAGCACATGTGGCAGAAAGACCATGCCGAGCCACTAAAATTCCGCTTCATGCATTAAAACAGTCTCAGAAAAACGATTGTTTGTAGCAATGGTCTTCAAGTTTGATGCCGGAGATCGAGGTACGAAAACACTTGTTCGAAAGTTTTGACAGGAAAACCGCAAGGAAAAACAAAACCAGTAAAGACAAGAGATAAACAAAGAATGCATAATATTATATTTAAAAAAACGAAGGGAAATTTGCAACACCAGTAAAACGCCGGAGCCGAAAACCCAGCTGAACAGGTTCGTGTCTCAAAACTATGCATTGCAGGACAGCCAGAGCTACACATATGCCTACGAAAAAAGTTTTCGAAAAGAATTATAATTTTGCCACCTCTTTTTGCAACACTCCCCTGTGACGAGAAGAAACTTAGAATGGCCACCTAACATAGCATCAAGGCATGTTGTTTTTGCACACTTTATATCGTCTCTTGAAGAACGGACGGGCCAGAGGTAAATTTAGAATGCTTATGCAGAGCAAATGTGACAAACAGGGACATGCTGAGCCACTAACATTCCGTGCCAAGGTTCATGCACTAAACCAATTTCAAAAGACTACTGTCTTAGCGGTGGTCTTGAAACTTGATGCTGGAGATCCTGGTGCGAAAACATTGGTCGAAGGTTTTGAAAAAAAGTGCTAGGAACCACAGAGCCAATGAAAAAGCGAGACCAAAACCCAGCTGAACAGGCTTGTTTCTCAAAGCTGTGCAAAGCAGGGCAGCAGTCAGCAGTTGTCATCTATTTTTGCAACACACCCCTGTGACGAGAAGAAACTTAGAATGACAACCTATCACGGCATCAAGGCATGTTGGTTTTGCACAGCTTATATGGTTTTTTGATGTTTTTTGAGCCTTTTCCACGGTTGTCGACGCAAAAGTGACTGGCCAGAGGCAAACTTTGAATGCCTATGCAGCAGATGTATCCTCTCAAGTTGCTTCGAACCCCCTTGGGGACCATTTTAGAACCCAAATATGGGTTCTAAAATGGAATCTACAAGGGGGGTCTTAGAACCTAAAATTCTTGGCCGCTATTCCGTTTTTGGGTTCTAAAATGGGTTCTAAAATGGTATCTTCCACCCTTAAAAAAATAAAAAACATTAAAAAAAACATTGTTAAAACCATCGCATTTCAGGAAAAAAACGATGAGGAAATCTGCGTCCCCAAAAAATAGATCAACATGAGGCGAATCAAAAAAAAATGCAAAGAGCACTCCATGATACTCCACAACATTTTTCAATGGGTGGCGGCCCGGCCACAGATGGTCGTATCATTTACTACCTATGGAACCAGGTTTTTGCCCGCGCTCTTTGCTTCCTTTCTTGCCAAACCATTAAGGTACACCCGAACCCAAATGCTTTCAGAATGTCCCCGAAGTCACCCCTTTTCAAACGAATTTAGTTGTGGACTCGTTCCATTTCCCGTGCGACTGTTTGTTTAATTTATGCAGACATGTCCAACCAAATAAATTTTCAATAAAACAGCAAACTCCTACATGCAGTGTTTTCAAAACAGTAGTGTTTTTGCGTCAAAGGAGAAAAACAAGGAACAAATCACCACATGCGGAGTCAGCAAGCAGCTGTGTGTCGAACTACAGCTGTCCAGCTGTCACTTAAAAAATGGTAAGTTTGCCTACCTTCATCAGGACACCACTGACTGGACACTTGTTCTTTTGGGATATTTGGGGGGGCTGGGTAGCTATGGCACAGAGATGTCACCCTAGACAATGCACCTTGACGTTTTATCTTTGGGAAGGGTTCTGGAATGGTTTCCTGCTTGGCCAAACGCGTGAAATACCAGCTACTGCAAGGGGAAACCATTTTAGAACATTTGCATGCTTAGGTAACTTTCATTTGTTCATTTGTTGCACAGGCATTCGTCTACTTGTAGAAGAACAAAAGATGGCAGAAACAGTTTTAGCTGACTTGATTATCACTGAAATTCATTAGCATTGGGTTGTACCTGCCTACCTACCCCTGGAGGTATTTATCTTTGGGAAGGGTTCTGGAATGGTTTCCTGCTTGGCCAAACGTGTGAAATACCAGCTACTGCAAGGGGAAACCATTTTAGAACATTTGCATGCTTAGGTAACTTTCATTTGTTCATTTGTTGCACAGGCATTCGTCTACTTGTAGAAGAACAAAAGATGGCAGAAACAGTTTTAGCTGACTTGATTATCACTGAAATTCATTAGCATTGGGTTGTACCTGCCTACCTACCCCTGGAGGTATTTATCTTTGGGAAGGGTTCTGGAATGGTTTCCTGCTTGGCCAAACGTGTGAAATACCAGCTACTGCAAGGGGAAACCATTTTAGAACATTTGCATGCTTAGGTAACTTTCATTTGTTCATTTGTTGCACAGGCATTCGTCTACTTGTAGAAGAACAAAAGATGGCAGAAACAGTTTTAGCTGACTTGATTATCACTGAAATTCATTAGCATTGGGTTGTACCTGCCTACCTACCCCTGGAGGTATTTATCTTTGGGAAGGGTTCTGGAATGGTTTCCTGCTTGGCCAAGCGTGTGAAATACCAGCTACTGCAAGGGGAAACCATTTTAGAACATTTGCATGCTTAGGTAACTTTCATTTGTTCATTTGTTGCAGAGGCATTCTTCTACTTGTAGAAGAACAAAAGATGACAGAAACAGTTTTA